ACCCAAGCTACATCTTAAAGGAAGGGAGGGATTCAATGGGGCATAAGTAAAAAGGGAATGCATTCCAGGTAGGAGGATGGATATTGTAAAGGCAGTTGGATGGGAGTGCCATGTGTGAGGAACAGAGAAAAGGTCAGTTTGGCTGGAATACAGAGCTCAGGAGGGGGTATAATGTGCAATGAGGCTGGAAAGATAGATTGGGGACAGGTTGTATATGGCTTTAAAAGCTTTATAGAGGAGTTTATATTTTATCCAAGAGGCAGTAGGAAACTGGAATTGGTTGAGTTGGCCTGGTTTGCATTTAATGAAAATTACTTCTGTAACATATCAGATGGATTGGATGGTGAGGGATTTGAAGCAGAGAGATCATTTAAGAGGCTGTGGCAATAATCTAGGCAAGAGATGATGAGGGCCTGAATTAAGCGAGTGAAAAGGAGACAGATTTGAGAGATGTTGTGAATATAGAAAAGACAAGATTTGGAGACTGATTGGATACATGATGTGAGGAAGAGTGAGGATTCCAGGACAATAATGCTAAGATTACAAAAGTGGAAATTTTGGAAAATGGTGGTGCCTTCTGCAAAAATAAGGAATTTTGGAAGATGGGAGGTTTAGAAGGGAAGATAACAAATTAAAGTTTTAGATATATGGGGTTTAAGATATTAACAGGATACCCAATTTGAAATGTCCAGGAGGCAATTAGTGATGAAGTACCAAAGCTATCTGAAAATAATGCAGCTTGATAGATCTGGGATTCATGTGCATAGAAATAATAGTCAAAATCATGTGAGCTGATAAGGTTAAGATGGAGATGATAGAGGGAGAAGAGAAAAGGGCCCAAGAACTTTGGGGAATACTCATAGTTAAGGAGGATAATGATGAGAGAGCAAAGGAGACAGATAACTTACTTGAACTCATTCCTCAATGATTAACATACTCCCATCCCTTCTTTCTTTCCCCATTCCAGTGATTCTAAACCCCCAGCTGCCATTGTGCAAACCCTATTCTTTGTTTTCCACTGACTACTCCTTTATTCCCATCCCCATTAATCCAACCTCACAGATATCCCAATCTAAAACCACAAATCCTTTCCACTATGCTCTCTACACCACCTTCTGTGTACATTAAAAAAAAAAACCTAGCTTTCTTCTTAAACCTTTTCCTTTCTTGATTTCTTCACCCTCTTGTACTCCCTGAAACCTGGTTCCCTACTGATGACACAGCTTCCCTGCAACCCTTTTCAGGTGGGTGAACTGGAATAGTTCTTTCTCCACAGTGCCACTTCCAAGCTTTCTTTCCACCACCATCACTTAGTAACATCTCTTCCTTTGAGGTTCATTCAATCCATATTTATCAATCAATCAAGATTCTGGTAGCTGTTGTCTCTAGAACTTTAGAACACTCTTTCCTTCCTCAAAGAGTTCTGTGCCTTCAAAATATCTCTCATATATGGCTCCTTCTCTCCTCTGACTGGAAGTGCGAGTCAGATCATATCACCATTCCTACCCTTCCTTATTCAATAAATTCCAGTTGCTCCCCTATTGACTCCAGGGTCAAGTATAAAATCCTCTGATTTTTAAGGATATTTTTTCCTGATCCCTTTCTTCTTGTCCAGTCTTCTTAAACTACAGTCTCTTCCATTTACTGTTATCCAGTGACACTGGCCTACTTTCTGTTCCTTACACAACACACTTCATTTTCTGACATTTTCATTGGTTGTCCCTCATGCCTGTAATGCTCTACCTCCTCATCTCTGCCTCCTGGCTTTCCTGGCTTCCTTCACATCACATCCCTAAAGTCCCACCTTCTACAAGTCCTTTTATAATTTTAGTGCCTTTCCTCTGAGATTATCTCTAAAATATCCAATATTTTTCCTATTTGTACATAATTATTTGCGTGGTGAACAGTTTCAGTTGAGTGATTAGGTTAGAAACCAGAATGAAAAAGATTGAGGAGTAAGAGAAGAGAAAATAGAGACAGCAAACAAAGAAAGTTTTTTCAAAGAGTTTGGCTGAGCAAGGAAGGGGAATTTTAGCATGATAGTTTAAGGAAGAAGTAGGTTCTAGGATGGGGGAGACTTGTGTGAGGGTAGTAGGGAAGAAATCAATTGATAGAAAGAGGTTAAAGATTTGTGGGGGAGATGATTGAGGAGGGGAAGAAGACAGGAGGGGATGAGATGAAATACACATTTAGAGAGGTTGGCCATGGCAAGGAGAAAGGCCACTTATTTGTTAGAGAATAGGAGAAAGTAAGAGATGATGTCAAGGGATTTTGAGATGAAGTGAATGAGAGAAGGAGCTTAAGTCCAATGACCTCAATTTGTTCAGTAAAGTAAGCAATATGGCAGAGAGAGAGAGACAGAGAGACAGAGAGACAGAGAGAGAGAGAGAGAGAGAGAGACAGAGAGACAGAGAGACAGAGAGAGAGAGAGAGAGAGAGAGAGAGAGAGAGAGAGAGAGAGAGAGAGAGAGAAGAGGAGGTTTAGAATACCTTCTGTGGGGAATAATATGGGGAATCAATTAGGGAGGACTAAAAAGACTGCCTGACTCTAGTGAGGGCCCAGCTGAAACTGGATAATGTGAATTTGTAATGTAACCAATCTGCATAGTTCTGAGACTTCCTTCAGCTTTGTTCAGCATCTCATGTGGAGGAGTGGAGGAGGTGGATGGTATGAGTAATCTAGGGCTTAGATTTGGCAAAGGAAGAGCACTGATTGGACAAGGGGGTAAGCAGTTCAAGACCAGAAAGCAGCATAAAGCCTAAATGCTAATAAGTGGGTTGAGGTTGGAGGGGGAGAAACTAGAAGTCAGAGTATGAGTAACTATCTGAGAAAATACTGAAGGGTGGATGGAATGGAGGTCTCAGAGTATGAAGAATAGTTGTTTGAGAGTTGAAGCACAGTGAGAAGTGGGATGATAGGAAGTTATGGTTATGGAAGTGAATGTCAATGTTTCTAAATTGGCAAGTGTAATACTCGTGGGTAACAGTGAGATCTACTGTGTGACCATTCTTATATATGGATAAATTAGAGTGAAGAAGTAGGTCACAGAACTTGAAAAGATTGAGGAAATGAGAGGTTAGGGAATTTGAAGCACATCTACATGGATATTAAAAATCTTTAGTATAGAATCATAATGGAAAATGCTATCCACATCCAGAGAAAGAACTGCAGAATCTGAATACAGATTGAAGCATATTATTTTCTCTTTTTGTTGTTGTTTTTCATTCTTTCTTTCTCAAGGTTTTCCCCTTTTGTTCTGATTCTTCTTTCACAATATGACTAATGTGGAAATATATTTAAGATGATTGTACATGTCAGATATACAATAGCCTATGTCAGATTGCACACCATCTTGGGGAGGGGAGTGAGAGGGGAAAATTTAGAATTCAAAATCTTATAAAAGTGAATGTTAAAAATAAAAAATTAATTAAGAATTTTTTAAAAAGTCTTTAGTATAAAGACAGAAGTAGGAGAGTATAGAAAGATGTGAGAATGGAGAGAGAATGACCTGAGGATTGAAATATTTGAACTACCATAATTTTGATTGGGTGGAAATTTTTAATTGAGTAGCTTTCAAAAGAAGAAAAATTACTGTGGAAAAGGCAAAGTATAAGTCTGGAAGTGACATTGATGAGGAAGGAGTGTTCTGACTACCCTTCCGGGACCAGTATAATTTTGAGTTGTGAGTGAAGGTACAGCCATTACTGGAAAGGATGAACAAAGATGCATGGTCATCAGAGGGGAGACAGGTCTCAGTAAGTGCTAATAGATGGAAAGATTGCAAGAGAAATAGGTCTAAAATGAAGCAGAGTTTGTTCACTACGGAACAGGAATTCCAGAGGGCACTGTGGAAAGGGTGGACAGAGTTGGATTGGGACTAAGAAAGATAGGATTGAGAGGCATGGGGATGAGAGTACATGAGAAAGAACAGGGGACAACAGGGGATGTCATTGATCAGTGTTTATATATAGTCAGCGAGAGAGAGAAATAGGAGAACTATAGTGAGTAGCAGATGGGTAGCAAACTTCATAGGCTCCAAGGGCTATTTCAGAAGGAGCAAGGTGAGTCTTTTTCTTTACTTGGAAGACTAGTGGAGAGGTATGGGTGGGGGGGGAAGGGTTGTTATGGTCATATTCCATTCCATTCATATAATCACAATTTATTCATCCATTCCCTAATGAATAGACTCCATTTTGTTTCTAATTTCTAGGTACCTTTTTGTGTCCTCCATACATTTTATTTGCATCTCATTTTTAAATGAAAAATGAGAGGGAAGAGATAAAAATAAACTGTGATTTAGCATTTTGCATTCATTTTTGAGAAAGAATATCAGAGCCCTGCACCTGTTAAGTTGGACAAAAAGATGGAGATAATTTCTGCAAACTTAGGCAAACTTTGATAATTTGAGTTTGTAAATTCTTTTCCCTCTTCAAGCCAAGATAGCTAAAGCAGTCTCATAGATTGATGGAATTCTCCAAAACTTTTTTTAAAAAATCGTTTTCGTCTTGGGAAAGCCAGCAAATGTCTTACCTTGTGAAAGCACCTTTCCCACAGAGAAGAAAGATTAACTGGAGCTCCTGAATAAACAGAATAGTATTTGTTCAACAATTTGGCTGATGGTTATAAATTGTAAAGCAATGTGATGCGGTGCTGTTGGCACAATTTGGAAGATTTTCTTTAGAAAAATATATAAGGTCTTTATCTCTCTTCCTCTGAGGCCAGCAGGAATGGAACAAGTGATTGTCTCTGAGTCTCAGAGGGCTTGCATATAAGACCTGATTCTGGTGCTAATTAGCTGTGTGACATTAGACAAGTCACTCTGACTCCCCAAGCCTCAGATTCCTCAGATATTTAAAAAAAAAAAAGGATTCAGACCTCTTAGGCCATGTAGTTCTAAGGGTTGTGAAGAAAGAGGAGGTTAGTTGATACTGTGTATTCAAGTTTTCAAGATGGACAAGACAGAACACAGCCAGGGACATTCTATTGAAGTTGTACTTACAGCTTCTTCTTTGTGCCACACAGTGGATCTGGAGGCAGAGCTCTTGGCTTCAGATCCTGGCTTGGCTTAGTTACCTACATAACTACACAAGTCTCTTCTCTTTCCAGGGCCTCTGTTTCTTCATCTGTAAAATGAAGGAGTCGGATGAAGTGATCTCTAAATTTCATTCCAGCCTGAAGTCTTATTGCATACCTATTATCCTTCTAAGTCCCTGTGTCTCTTGATATAGTACTGGAAAAAGGAACTACATATGATCACAAATTCACATCACCATGAATCAACCTCTTGATTTCCCCAACCAAGTGACTAAGTCATTTTGGTTTTGACAAAGAAACATTACAGTATAACTCATTCAGAGGACCCCCAAATCGTTTACTCCCTAGCATCTTCCTCCATTTAGAACATATGAGTTATGCAAACCCAAGGAATAGATAATACAGAAACCTGAGTTCTGAAAATTTAAAACTACAGAATCCTAGAATTTGAAGATGCCTCAGAAGTCATAGTCTATGCAAGGCAGGAATTGGAGATATTATTGGAAAATTACAGAACAGACCAAAATGAGAAGATAAGTGTATATGAATACACATATAACGATAGACATAGATGACATATTGTATTCACACACATACACGTATATACACACATACACATATATACACATATATGTGGACACAGAGACACATGTATATATGTGTCTGTGTCTGTGTCTGTGTGTGTACACACACACACACACACACACACATTTTGGAGGAAGAGGCAGACCTACAATTTTACAATAGAGGGAATTCCTAATGAAAAAAGTCTCTCTACTAATGCATATTGGTAATTCCTCTGCAATTTATGGTCTTGGAGAGTTGTCTGAGGCCCTGAGGGGTTAAGTGATTTAGGTCAGCATGTGTCAGAAGCAGGACTTAAATGAAAGTCCCCCAATAATGAGGGCAGATATCCATTCATCCTACCACACTGCCTAATTTTAATCAAACTGCAAATTGTCTTTTTTTTAAAGGTTAGTAAGTTTAAGAGGTAGAATTCAAACATAGTCTCTCCTAACTCCAATTTGAGCACCTTTTTATCACACCTCTGACATTTCTGAGTAATTTACAACTTGAGGAGAATGAAGGATCCGTCAGCAAATTTCAATAGGGAATTTGAGAAAGAGGACTCCTAACCCAGGGGTTAGGGAATGGGGGTAGGAGGAAGTTTTACGGAGAGTCATATATAATGGGAAGACTGCCAAAATGACTTTGTATATTTCTAAATTTTGCCTAAGGCTGGTCTTGGCTAGGGAAAAATCTTACAATGATTTATAAATTTGTCTTATTTTGTTTTTAGTAGATCTTTAATCGTTATCTTTTCCTTTTCCATCACCTACAGTTTTACCTGTATTTTTTTTTCTACCACAATCCCAGCAGCCACTTCACACTGGAAATGCCTCTACCTTTGGGCTCCCTTCTCCGATGGGTAAGTTCCTGCCCAGGACCACCATTTAAGGAAGTACTGTGGGCCATGCATAGTCGCTTCTTGCTCTTTGGATTCTGTTGACTTTTCCATCTTGCCCCCACATAGGTGCCTCTCCCTGACCTTTGCTTTCCAGTTTTCCTTTATTCATTATCTTCCTCTATTAGAATATAAACTTCTTGAAGGTAAGAACTATCTTGTTTTTTTATTCAATTTCTATTTCCAGAGCTGAGAATTGTATCTGACCTGATAAGTGATTCATATTTGATCTATTAAATAATATAATCCATCCAATTAGCTCTCTGTTTTTCTTCCTACAGCCTTCTCTTAAAATAATTTCTAAAAAGAAAAGGAAAAAAATTTCCATCAAAGTCATATTGAAAAATTAAATACTACATGCAATGTTCCTCATATCTCATCCCCACATCATCAAAGGAAGTAGTAGGGGTGTCTTGTTATATCCCTTCTTTGTATTATAATTTCATAATATTCAGTTTCATTTTTTTTCACTTATTCTATGCACTAACATTGTTGTAGTAATTGTGTATATTGCTTTTCTGATTCTGCTAGTTTAAACATCATTCCCTGATAATCAAACTCTGAATACCTCCCTATGTAACAAATCCTAAAGTCATTGTTTATTCCCTTGCATTGAATAATATTTATTGAGCCACGTGTATATTTACATGCATAAGCACATATATATAACCATACATATATGACAATATTAAATTGAAAATGTGGGAATTCTTTATTATTTTAAAGCTGAATGGCCAGTAGGAAAAAAACCACAGCTCTGACATTTCAAACATGTATGCCCTTGGGTAAATCACTTCATCATTTTGGGCCTCAGTTTCTTCCTCTGTAAAATGATAGGGGTGGACTGGATCCTCTGAAAAGTTGTGATCATTGTATTGTAAAATAGAAGGGGATGCAGTGTAATAGAGCTATTCAGACAGAGGGAAGTGCCACCATCGAAGATAAGGAGAAGCTGATGCTGAATATGTATGTCAATCACTCACACATTTATTAAATTTTACTATGTGCCAGGCATTGGTCTAAGCCCTAGAGACACAACTAAAAAACAAAACAAAACAAAACAATACAAGACCGTCTCTGCCCTCAAGGACTTTATTTTTTAATGTAGGATAATGGCATATATCGGGAGTGATCTGGATGGAGTGTTTTGTTCTTGGAAATCACAGGGGATGGTGAATGGCATAGAATAGTCAATTAGTCAATAAGCATTTATTAAGCATCTAGTATGTGCCATGCACAGTGCTAAGTGCTGGGGATACAAAAAGAGGCAAAATACAGTTCCTGCCCTCAAGGAATTTACAATTGAATGGGAGAGATATCAGGCGAGCTAGTATATACAAAGCAAGTTATATATAAGATAAATAGGAAATAAATGAAAGAGGAAAAGCACTGGAGTTAAGAGGGGTCAAGGAAGGTTTCTTGTTGGAGGTGAGTTTTTAGTTGGGACTTAAAGGAAACCAGAGAGGTCAGTAATTTAAGCAGAGGAGGGAAAGCATTCCAGGCATGGGGGCAGGGTGAGGGGCAGCCAGAGAAAATGCCTAGAGCAGAGACAATGGAGTGTTTTGTGTGTGGAACAACCAGAAGGCCAGTGTTGCTGGATGGGACAGTATGTGTTGGAGAGTAAGACTGGAAAGGTAAGAGTGGGCTAGGCTGTGAAGGACTTGGAATGCCCAAACGCAAGTTTGTATTTGCTACTGCAGGCCATGGTAAGCCACTGGAGTTTATTGAGTAGAGGAGTGACATGATTGGACTTACATTTTAGGAAACTCACTTTGATGGCTTAATGAAAGATGGGTTAGAGTGGGGAGAGAGTTAAGACAGGTAAACCTCCGTCACCAGACAATAAAAATAGTCCAAGTGTGAGGTGATAAGGGTCTATACCAGGGTCATGGCAATGGCAGAGAGGAGTAAAGGGATATATTTGAGAGAGAAAGGTGGAATTGACAAGCCTTGGCAACAGATTGCCAAGTATATGTGGAGTGAGACATGGTGAAGAGTTGAAGGTAACATCTAGGTTACAAGCCTGGTTGACTGGAAAAATAGTGGTGTCCTGAACAGCAATAGGAAAGTTCCAGAGGGGGTGGATGGGTATAGGGGAAAGATAATGAGTTCCATTTTGGACTTGCTTTGCTGGCCATCCAATTTAAGATGTCTAAAAGGCTGTCAGAGATGTGAAACTGGAGGACAGCAGAGAGTTTAGGGCAGGATAGGTTGATTTGAGAATCATCAGCATAGAGATGGAAATTAAGTCCATGGGAGCTAATGAGATCACCAAGTGAAATAGTATAGAAGAAGAAGAGAAAAGGGCCCAAGACAGAACCCTTGTGGGACACTTGTGGTTAGATGGAGCAGTCTGGCTGAGGATCCAGCAGAGGAGACTGAGAGGGAATGCATGGATAAGTAGGAGGAGCATTAGGGGAGAGTGTGTCCCGAAAATCTAGAAAGAATATCAAGGAGATAGGGCAGCTAGGTGGTGCAGTGGATAGAGCTCTGGCCTTGGAGTCAGGAGGACCTGAGCTCAGATCCGGACACTTACTAGTTGTGTGACCCCAGGCAAATCACTTAACCCTGAGTGCCTCACCAAAAAGAAAAAACAAAGAATATCAAAGAGGAAAGAGTAATCTACAGTGTAAATGGCAACAGAGAGGTCAAAAAGAATGAGGATTAAGAGAAGGCCATTGGATTTGACAGTTATTGTTAACTTTGGAGAGAGCAGTTTTGGTGGAATGATGAGGTGAGCAGATGGATTGTAAAAGGTTAAGAAGACAGGGAGAGGAGAAAAAGTAGATGGCCTTATTCATCTTCCATTCAGGGGTTTAGCCACAAAAAGTAAAACTCCAGTATTTGAATCCAGATCCTCAGACTTTAAGTCACTCTATTGTCTGAATATGAGAAATCTTGGTTTTCTTTCTAATGGATAAATTGCTTTTTTCTTTCCTTGATGCAGGCAACAATTTCCCTTTTGAGGATCATTTTGAAATGAATTTTCTTCCCGTAAAAGTTGTATGGGTAAAGAAGAAAAGGTTAAGTAAGAATAAAAGAGATATTAAAGACACAAAATATTTTCTTGCAAACTAGGTCAGACAAATTATTTATCAAGTGAATAGCTTTTCTTCCCAACATGCCTCTCCTCTCTTTTGCTCAGTAGCTAAACCCTGGAATATCCCAGTAAGCCACATCATTAGCCTATGAACAGCATGAATACATGTCATCCAGCATTATTTAAAAAGTCACATTTTGTTGTTGTTTCTGTTATTTTCTGTTATTATTGTTGCTGACAGGTAGATATAACAAAGGCAGGGATTTAGAACTGGAGGGTAGAGGTAACGATTTTGCTTCCTTCCCCTAGCTTTTGTTCTTGCTGAATTAAAGAGTTTGACAATAAAAGAGGATATTGGTAGTGAAGAGGGCTCTGTAGTATTAGCTGCCATTATTTCTGTGGCTATCTTTGGGTCAGAGTCCCTGGAATTTGTGGAGCGGGGAGGGAATGGAAGAGCAGGATGCCCATCAAGAAACCAATTTGATGGAAAATCTGAGCTTAAATACAGCTTTAAGACTTCCCATCAAGAAGATTTTCTAGGGACCTATATGTGAGAGAGGGTAATCCAGGTGCTGTATTAACAATCAGAACTTGCACAAAACTGGAATATACTAGTTGGGGAGATACT